TCACCTGAAGAAGGCCAATGGTCGAAACGTCGTGAACATTTCAACAAAGATGAGAATATTCAGAACAACGTAAATAGTGTAAATAACTATATATTTTCTCAGACTATTAATATCTGTCTATTTGTATATTCATATTTATCTATCTAGCTGTCTGTTTACCACTCTCTTAAACTCTCTTTCTATATATATTTTTTCTATTCATATATATCTATAGCCTTTTCCTTTATTTACCCGTCTCAATCTAGCATTCTTTATTTCTACCTCTAACTATTCTTCTAAAACTATTTCACAGTCAACATCTAGAGTTTCTGGGCTCATTACAATCTATCTATCTATCTATCTATCTATCTATCTATCTATCTATCTATCTCAGCCTGTTTATAACCTATCTATCTATCTATTCAATATCAACGAAATAATATAGCAATAGTTAAACCACATGATGCCACAGAATCGTCTCTCAGTGTCTGCTGTTATTTTCAATACTAGAATGGTAATTATCAGCTGCGTCGTGCACGTTATGACAAATACCAAACCCGTAGGCTTAACTGGCATCAATCAGCCAGCAGGCGTGGAGAGGACAATTTCAGTGAATAAACAGAACGAATCCTTGTCTAATTCTGAAACCATAATTTGTGAAAATAGATAGAAGCAAGAAAGTATTGTGTTTTCTAACCGGATCTATTTAATCTATACCGCGAGACGAAGGTAAGAGAATTAGGAGACCTAACATGTTCTATAAGCAGTGAAATTCATATTAACCTCATTGGATACTTAGTTGACAGTGTCTAAAAACGTAGAAAACAGAAAGAAAATCCATTTCAGACATTGCAGTAAACAAAAGTAAATACTAATTATTAAGTGTAAGGCAGAATACATGGTTATCAGCAAAATAGGCAACCCAAAAGTGGAGCTACACATTTGGGTCGTTAAAATCACTCATTTAGAGATGGTTTTAATCATTTGATCGTAAGCACGACGATAATGCCACTAAGATGCAAGGGAAGTAAAGGAGAATGGCAGTATTTATGCAAGGGGACGTAATGACAGGGCAATAAATTGGCAGAGAAGGCAAGAAATGGCGAGTGATGTAGTCACTATCAAGTACCATGAAAACACCAAATTATAGAGGCCAGCTAAGCAAGAAATTGAAAATGAGTTCCACAAGCGGAAAGTGCGAGAAACGAAACTGTTAGAACAAAAGTAGCATCTAGCTAGTTCAACAGTAACCTGGTGAGACCTACTTGCCAATCTATTCATTCGCTTAAATTCATCATCTGGTATGTCAGCATCCATATATATATGCATATATATATATATATATATATATATATATATATGTATATATATATATATATTATATGTGTATATATATATATATATATATATATATATATGAGGAAGAGGCTAAAGTAGTTTCAATGAGAAAAAAGTGTGTATATTAAAGAAAAGAGAGAAATAGCAAACTTTTTGGGTTGTAATGTGGATTTAAAAAAAAAATAATATGCTTCTTTTTCCATAATTTTTCAACACGTTCTAATGGTCTCGCGACCGACATAAGGCAAAGCGAGGAGATTCCACATATTATTAAAAAATAATTAATTCTTTTCTTGAATTTTCGATGTTAAATATTCTCGATATCAGACATCCTCTTTTTGTCTGTTAGTGAGACAAATGTTTTTCTTGAACTGGCGCGAATATTTAACATCGTAATATATAAGAAAAAAATAATTATTTTTAATAATATGTGGAAATCTCAAAGCTTTGTCTGATGAGGCTCACCAGAACGGAAACCCGTGAGGCAAAATTATGGAAAATAAAGGATAATATTTTTTAAAAAGAAATATAAATTACAACCAAAAACATTTTCGGTTTTTCTCTTGTTTTTAATATATATATATATATATATATATATATATATATATGTGTGTGTGTGTGTGTGTGTGTGTCTGTGTGTGTGCGTGTGTGTGCTCGCCTGTGTGTGCGTGTGCGTGCGTGCGGGTGTGTGTGTGTATGTATGGCTAGATAGATAGATCGATACATAGATACATAGATGGATAGATAGATAGAAATATAGATAAATAAAGATATCAAATCCGTAAGTGTAAAGGATAATCCAAGTGTTTTTAATATAAAATATCAAAGACATAGAACCATGAATAGTACTCAATATATTGTATAAGGACCAATATGATATACATGAAAGAAAAAAAAATCAGGTAATAAATATATTAGCGGGTAAATTTTAATACCTGCCTCATCAGATCGAAAATTCAAAATGGTTTAAATTTATCCATATATCCAATATAGAAAAAATGAATAAAATAAAATAAATCACAAGAGAACTGGAAACGGGGAAAAAGTCAAAACTAGGTGATCTATAAAAATTATCTGTGGATTTATATTATTTAAGAAAAAGCTGAGGAATCAAAGAGTCAAAACAATGAAGAGGGGTGATAGGGGGAAATACAAATGACAGCTAATCGGAAATAAATCAAAATTTATATCAAAATCATCTGATTTACCTCAAATAATATCATATATATATATATATATATATATATATATATATATATATATATATATTATAAATTAATTAATTTAAAATATGGTTTTTTCCGCTATACAGTTCTAACCATGTTTCAAAAATGGAAGCTAAAAGCCCCGAATTTAATTTTGTAATTAAATTAAAGACATTAGTTCCATTTCCTCCTCAAGCGAATTTTGGAGTAACTTTTAAAATTAATGGGTTTTAAAGACACAGATAAAATCATAATCATAAAATATCTATAAGAACACCGGATTATATATCTTACTGTTTTTTCTTTATATATATATATATATATATATATATATATATATAAAACATGTGTCAAAAATAATATATTTAAGTCACCATCATCAACTTACATAAGGAACTGTGAAAATGTATATATATATAGTTTTTTTTCAAACTTTTGTATATTCGTTGATATTATTTGAAGTAAATTAGATGATGGCGATATGAATTTATTTTTGACACACACACATATAATTGTCTATCTATCTATCTATCTATCTATCTATCTATCTATCTCTATATATATACCCCATATTAAGCATATATATACACCCCAATATAAGCATATATATACACTTAAAATATATATATATATATATATATATATATATATATATATATATATATATATATATATATATATATATATATATATAAATATTACACTCACACATATTTATACATATATATACATACAGACACAAATGCATACACAAGCGCACACACATATACACACATTAAAAACAACTTTAAGAAGTTGGAGGCTATCTACATTAAAAGAAAACAACTCACACTGAACAGATTACATTTCAAACAAGTCACAAAATATTACAATACATTTAAACACGTGGTTTTTATTTATAATTTTTCTTTCCCTCATGTGTTCATGTATGACGTCATAGAACCGTATTACGAATTTATGACCAGCGTCTGCTATTTCGCGACCATTATTGTCGCATAGCAAACTTCTATGTAAACATAATACGATATCATTTTTGATGGTGAATATCTTTGTTGTAATACTCATATAACCACTCGGTTGATCAAGTATCAGTGTGATAAAAATACATCCAAATTTTGTTCACTTTTTGTCTTTATTTTCTACTAAATCTAAAGCAACCATACGAAGCTTAGAACGGCTCATGATCAAGCATAATAGACTTTCGTTGTCTGTTATATTTAACAATATATGTTTGAATATACATTTATATATCCAAACACAAAAACTTATATATACATACATACCCACACACGTACACCTACAAACAGAAGGTGGAGAAAAATAAAGAAGAAGAAGAAGAATTTGAGAAGCTGATTTTTTAATTTAATGACACTGTGATCAACACGGACTATCGTACATTCATATCAAGTTGAAACACCTGTTATCGTTCAATTACCGAAGTTAAGCAACGTCAAGTAAAATCAGTAACGAGATGGCTGACAGATTGGGAATGGCAGGTTATGTAAGCTTGCATGTGAGGGTGGTGTAATGGACAGCGGTTTTGAATTGGAAATTGGAGAGCCAAGTTCTAATTCCAGTCTACTTCGTTCACTTCACTTACCCGCAATATTATACTCTTGGGAAAGATATGTAACCTCTTCTTCTCCCCTTTCAGCTATGGGCAAATTAGTAATAATTGCATTCGTAAATCATTATTATCACAAAACATTTGATAGGACATTGATATATATATATATATATATATATATATATATATATATATTAAGCGTTTCACCCTAACCAAGCGGGAAACCACTAGCACACAAGGGGTTAGAGAGAGTTGGAGCGAGAGCAAAGAGGAGTGATGGAGGAAAGGATGAAGAGAAGGATAGGGGATAGATCAAAGCATCTAGAGACGTCGATTGGCATTACATTTGAATAGTTGGAGATTATAGCTATCAGGGAAACAGGAAAAGGAGAGGGAGTTCCACAGACGTGAATTGAGAGACATGAAGCTATTGGAGTTGAAGAGATGACTACATTTAACAGTTTCGCCAGTGAAAATGTGAAAGCGAGGTGCCAGCCTCGTAGAACATTTAATTTCATGAAGTTTGGGAACCGGTGAAAGTATTTGTAAAAAAAAACAGACAGAGAGAGGCTACGGCACTTCTGCGAGAGAGCGACTGCAGACGGGATGCCAGATCAAGGTCAGTTACATTGCATATCCTTTTGTGAATTTTATCAAAGACCTTGAGGCAAACAGTTAGGGACCAGCAAAAGGCTGATAAGCCGTAAAGCACGAATCGATCAATCAAAACGATCAGTGATATCGAGGTTTTATCGTTTTAAGAATTGTTTTCCTCATTCTAGGGAGGGTCACACGCCTTTGAAAAGAAGCCAACACACACCGGGAAAAGACGTAACACGCACCGAGATGTAAAAAAAAAAAGTCAGTATGAAGAGATGAAACACTAATGGACCCAGCGTGAGACCGTATAAATGTCGGACAGCAGTGATATTTCCCTCTCTACGTCTACATCTGACATATGTCAGCTGCGAAAGGTTTTCTGAGCAATTAAATACGCTAATCCGTGGGGAGGAGAAAGGGAAGGTGAAGAGGAAGATTTAAGCTGTAAGATGGATATGGTGTTGACCGGAAACCAGCAAGAATTGCTGATGGGAAAATGTCCACATTTACTTTAACGGTAAATGAATTCATGGTAGTGAGACCTTTCATACTGTGTCGGGTACATTCTATGTTTGGTTATCTTTTTCGCCTCGTTTTTTTTTTTTTTTATAAACTTGTAGCCATGTCTACATGCCTTATCATTGCTTCTCTCTTTCTTTTTATGTTGTTCTTTTTTTATTTATTTGTTTCTTTCTTTCTTTTTCATTTTCTAATATGATTTATGTCTTTTTTTCCTTTCTTTTTCTATCGTACTTTTTCATTTTCATTGTTTCATTCTTTTTATTTTGTTCTTTTTTCGTTTTCGTTGAGTTTTTTCTTTTATTTTTCTTTATTTCTTCTCTCGACTTTTCTTTTCTTTCTGTTTTGTTCTTTTGCAATTCCTTCGTTTATTTCTTTTCTCCTTTGTTTCATTTTATTTCGATCAATTTCATGTTCGTCGATTTTTCTTTCTTTATTTCTTTTCGTTTTTTTTTTCATTTTCGTTGTTAGTTTGTTCCTTTCTTTTTTTTTTTCGTTATTCAAGCACTCGTTCTTTCTTTCTGTATTTGTTCAATCTTTCATTCAAATATACCCTTCATTTCAATTATATCTTACCACTTACCTTCTTAAATGTTTTTTTCCGTTTATCTTTTTAATAATTGTCTTTTTTTTCCCATTTCCACGTATCCGTCATATTCTTTCTTTCTTTCTTTCTTTCATTCTATCTTTGTTTCTTTCGTTCTTTTTTATTTTGTCACAAATCAAATATGTTAATTCATTTCTCTTTGAACAATTTATCCATTCCTCCTTCTATTATTGCCATTCGTTCTTATTTCCAAGCATATGTTATTTATTTATTTATTTATTTATTTATTTTCTTTTTTTATTTTTTTTCTTTTCATCTTTTCTTTCTTTTTCTTTTTTCTCTTTCTTTTCTTTCTTTTCTTTCTTTTCTTTCTTTCTTTCTTTTTCTTTCTTTCTTTTCTTTTCTTCTCTTTCTTTCTTTTCTTTCTTTTTCTTTTTTTCTTTTCTTCTTTCTTTTCTTTTCTTTCTTTCTTTCTTTTCTTTTTTTCTTTTCTTTTCTTTCTTTTTCTTCCTTTTCTTTCTTTTGTTTCTTTCTTTGTTTTTTCTTTCTTTCTATCTTTTCTTTCTTTCTTTGTTTTCTTTCTTCTTTCTTTCTTCGTTCATTCCTATTCATTTAACTCCTATTTTTATTATATCTTACCAACTTTCTCCTGAATGTCTTCGCCATTTGTCTTTTTTTATTGATCTTCTTTTGTTTTTTCATTTCCACGCATCTTTCAAATTCTTTTTCTTTCTTTCTTTCTTTCTTTTTCTTTTTCTTTCTTTCTTTCATTCTATCTTTTGTTTTTTCGTTCTTTTTATTTTGTCACAAATCAAATATGTTAATTCATTTCTCTTTGAACAATTTATCCATTCCTCCTTCTATTATTGCCATTCGTTCTTATTTCCAAGCATATGTTATTTATTTATTTATTTATTTATTTTCTTTCTTTCTTTTTTTCTTTCTATCTTTTCTTTCTTTGTTTCTTTCTTTTCTTTCTTTCTTTCTTTTCTTTCTATCTTTCTTTCTATCTTTTCTTTCTTTCTTTCGTTCTATCTTTTCTTTCTTTCTTTCTTTTCTTTCTATCTTTCTTTATATCTTTTCTTTCTTTCTTTCTTTCTTTCTTTCTTTCTTTCTTTCTTTCTACCTTTTCTTTCTTTTGTTTCTTTCTTTGTTTCTTTCTTTCTTTCTATCTTTTCTTTTTTTCTTGTTTTTGTTTTTTCTTTCTTTCTTTCTTCGTTCATTCTATTCATTTAACTCCTATTTTTATTATATCTTACCAACTTTCTCCCTGAATGTCTTCGCCATTTGTCTTTTTATTGATCTTCTTTTGTTTTTCATTTCCACGCATCTTTCAAATTCTTTCTTTCTTTCTTTCTTTCTTTCTTTCTTTCTTTCTTTCTTTCATTCTATCTTTGTTTCTTTCGTTCTTTTTTATTTTGTCACAAATCAAATATGTTAATTCATTTCTCTTTGAACAATTTATCCATTCCTCCTTCTATTATTGCCATTCGTTCTTATTTCCAAGCATATGTTATTTATTTATTTATTTATTTATTTTCTTTCTTTCTTTTTTTTCTTTCTATCTTTTCTTTCTTTGTTTCTTTCTTTTCTTTCTTTCTTTCTTTTCTTTCTATCTTTCTTTCTATCTTTTCTTTCTTTCTTTCGTTCTATCTTTTCTTTCTTTCTTTCTTTTCTTTCTATCTTTCTTTATATCTTTTCTTTCTTTCTTTCTTTCTTTCTTTCTTTCTTTCTACCTTTTCTTTCTTTTGTTTCTTTCTTTGTTTCTTTCTTTCTTTCTATCTTTTCTTTCTTTCTTTGTTTTCTTTCTTTCTTTCTTTCTTCGTTCATTCTATTCATTTAACTCCTATTTTTATTATATCTTACCAACTTTCTCCCTGAATGTCTTCGCCATTTGTCTTTTTATTGATCTTCTTTTGTTTTTCATTTCCACGCATCTTTCAAATTCTTTCTTTCTTTCTTTCTTTCTTTCTTTCTTTCTTTCCAAATCAAATATGTTAATTCATTTTATTTTAAATAATTTAGCCTTTCCTCTTTCTAATGATTGGCTTTCGTTCTTTCTTTTTTCTTTCGCCACCATACCTGTTGTTTCGTTTTTACTTTTCTCTCTATGTCACCATCACCGTCTCTTTCCCTGTTTCTCTAACCAAGAAGAAATTAGTGTATCTGTTATCTTTAAATAAATCTCTTTTTTATTATTTACATTGCTGGTAGAGTTATATGTAAGATCTGTACGATTTGTCTTTTCCTGGGTTTATATTTTTAGGTCAACTAGTCGAACCGCATCTCACTGTTCCAGATTGAAGTTTATTTTTTTATTTCCAAAGTTAGGTTGCATTATAAATTCATAAAAATATCGAGAGACAGATCTGAAGAAATATGAATGAAAAATAGCCACTGTTAGAATGGACCTATTTTTGAACATCCATTCATTTTTTTGGTCTGTGAAACTGATTCGTCTTTGTATCTCATTTAGGTAAAATAATATACGATCAGCGAATATTGAATCGAATAAGGGAGAAATTGGGAAGATACAGCTAATGGTGAGAAAAGATTATAAACATGGTCTAAAATTTCCTCGGATCCAACAAGTTATTATTATTTGATTTCTGACTCTTAGATATTTTGGTCGCGTAATAAAGGTAATATATCGGTCGGATGATTGTCATAATTCTGCGTGGTGATGATGCTCAGCTTCTGTCCCTCAGGTTAAAGACACAACACATTCCTCAGCACATGGCCAATCCAGGAATTACTTACACCGACGTACATCCATTGACGTCATGTATTCCCAACGGTGTAACGAGAAGCAGAAATAATCGTGGAAATAATTCTGTGTATGCTAACCACAAAAAGGTCTACTTAAAATGCTGCTTTGTATATTTTTCTTATTTACCCTGCCAGGACTTGGTATACACAGCATGTTCTTATCCCAGTATATCGCAGTGTTTGTGGGAAACATTCGTAGTTGTTTTTATGCAGGAGTACAATATCTGGGCGATTGCTTTCCAGGCGCTTGTCAATCAAATCGTTTGTCTCAGTTACTCAATCTCGGCCACTAGCAGTGGTGAATGCTTGAACCATTTCTCTGCGGATTCGAGGTCCAACATCCTGGACAAATCCTAATATATAATGACGGTTACATTGTCATGGCGTTGTCTGTACTCTTTTTTCTGCTGTTGATAATAATATTGTTATTCAAAACAACGGTATGCAAAGAAGTGTCACTGGGATATATATACACAAATACCAATATAGCTATAAAAAATATTCGGATAAGTGTATATAAGGTATATGTATCAAAGCCTAAAGTGTGCGAAATGTTGAAAGGTTTTCATAAAAGCAGTTCATAAAATGCAGGAATGGCATACTTAGAAATACTCACAATTGGGTGCACGACGACTCATTACCGCCGACTCAACGACACGTAAACGAAGAAGTTTCTTCGTCGACTTTATAAAAAAAAATAAAAATAAACATAATTTCTTAAGGGGCACTTTTAAAACCGAATAAATGACTTTTATTAAGAATCATTTATAATCGTTTGTTTCATGGCTGAAACATCTGGCAGTGATCCAAGTGTAACCTGAGATACATTTGCTAACACACAGGTATTACAGCACATAACATTTCAATGGTGTCATTGGCACGAGTTGTCATGCCTGTGTACACTTTAACTACATCTACATTGGCCGCTGACGGATTGTGTGGATGCTTGTTTACTTTCTTGATAAATGCTGTAAATCCGTGTATATCCTTGCATTACACCGAGAGCCCTGGAAACAACGCCAGCATTTTATGTCTCTCTCTCTTTTACTAATCTTATCAAATACAAATAAATGACATTTCTGTGCATATTTGTCTTTTCCTATTTTACTAAAAAATTACATTTTCGGTATGCTGATAAGTTTGAAAATTATAACCAGTCATCAAAATAGGCATTATAACTAATAAATCCCTTAGCCAAACAGTTAAAATTCAAAATTTCTTCGACTCAACGCGATGTGCAGAATATGACAGTCAACACCGTTTCGCCGGTGTTGAGTCGGCGGTGATGGAATATCCCCTCCCGTTTCAGTTCGCATAGCTCAGATCGTCTTCTACTGAAGTGGTTTCGGAGTACCTACACGTGATACGCCTAGCTGCGGCATCTTTTAAACAAGCCTCTCGACACCAGGACACGATGCTTCCCACTACTCCCTCTCATGAGATGCACAGTATGCCAATTCCTCAGAGGTTACTCGACTGATATGACCAATAAACTTACTGTAGGCCTTCTATATTACCACAGAAAAAAAGGTGTAATTCTTGCCATTTAGGATCAGAAACAATGATAGCAATGACTGGTATAATATGAGATCATCATCGTCATCATTAGTATTCAGAATATGGATGTGCGTGTAGCTTAACGGTTATCGGCTTGGAAATTTAAACCGGTGAGCCGTGTTCAATAAAAATATGTAGATATCTTGTTTTATTTTGACCATTCCAATTCATAGCAATCATCTTGCGCGTTTTCTTTAAATGGGAGCTGTATATTTTGTTTCATACAATTAAAGTTTAGTCTTTTCTTTTCGCTTTCTTTATTGTTTTTCTTTCTTTATGCAGTTTCGTATGCGGACTCATTTTAATTATGGTATAATTTCCACGATAGTTTATACTGTCTTTAACTTTTGGAAAGGATCTTTTGCTATTCTAACGAGTCTTCGGATTTTGGTGTCCTATTTTCCGTCATCTATTAAAAAAATATTTTCCAGCTATTTGAACTTCCGTAATTGCTTTATTTTGATATATCCAATTAGTATCTCCAATAAATAGTCTGCATCCCGGGCGGTTTCTTTAATGACAGCCATTTAGTCTGCCTTCTATGAATTGATGTTTACTCCGTTCTTCTGGCTTTTCTTTAATAGATTGTCTAGGATGTCCTGTATTTGTTTTTCCTATGCGCTTGTCACGAACACAAGATCATCTACGTTTCATTAGTTGTCAAGACCTTATACGCCTACAACAAATCCTGGTAGCATTTACAGTTCCTTTATATTTTCTTTAACTTTTGGAAAACAACTTTCGCTTATCTAAAACGTGTTTAGATTTTGGTGTCATATTTTTCGGCATCCGTTAAAAAAAATATTCCAGATGTTTGAACGTCTGTACTTGATGAATTTAGGCATTATTCTGATATAAATTCTATCATCTGACAGTTGACGGTTCGTAATTTCCCATCGCTTTTTTACTATATTGTCTAGATCTTCTTGCAGATATTTTTCTGTGTCTTAGATATGGCACCATCTACATATCACATTTTTATAAAATTATACGCAGAGGGTTTTATATTCGATAAAAAGGGAGTTTTCTAAGGGGTACACAGAATCTGATACCTATAATTAGTAACGGAAAATAACACGAAGAACCGTTTCGCCAAACCAAATTCTAACGCTGGCTTTTGAAAAAATCAGTCACTTAGGACTGTAATCTGTGGAAAAGACAAAAAAAACACATATCCATACCAGCGAAAGCTATGGGTTAAACTTAAACGGCGTGAAAAATCGCCCGAACGTGAGACTAAAATAGGTAAGAAAAAGACAAAACTCATTTTTAAGCGGTAGTTTTTACTGTTTATTGTCGCTTTAATGATCGAAGAAAAAGAACTCACCAAATTACAAGTTAACCAAAAAAGTTCTGTCCGTTTTTTGATTAGTCATTGAATGAAGTTGAAATATATACGAAATGCGTGTAGCAATTGTTTTCAAATTCGGACACCTTGAAGTAGGAACATCAGACGTTATAAAAAACACGTGCCTGGCCATTAATTATAAGCCGGACAGCTGTGAGAAGGATGGAAGTGTCTAGAGATCTCGTTCGGGGCTGTCTGCTTTACGACTTCAAAGTGGGCTTATCAGCAGCTGCATCAAGTTGCCGCATATGTCAAGCGTTTGGGGATAGTGCTGTGGATGAACGTACTGCAAGGCGTTGGTTTCGAAAATTCAAGTTGGGAGAATTGTCTCTCCATGATGAGCCTCGCAGCGGACGACCACAGGTCTTGAATGACGGATTCCTGAAGGCGGCCATTGAAGAGGACAGTAGTCTAACGTGTGGTGAACTTACAAGACAGTTCCACTTTTCCGATGAAACGGTTACACTTCACCTGCACCGCCTAGGTAAGACGTACAAACTGAGCAAGACAGTTCCGCAAACGCTGTTCGAGGTCCACAAGGGACAATGAGTGGCAGCCACGGTATCGCTGCTTTCTCGCCACCGTACCGCATTCTTATTCAATTGAGTGCTTACCAGTGATGAAAAGTGGGTTCTGTACGAAACCCCCAAGCGTTCCAGACATTGGTTGTCTCCTCAGGATGCTGTCCCTCACACCGCAAGACCGCCTATGCACCCACGCAAGATTATGCTTTGTGTCTGGTGGACAGGTCGTCAAGTGGTTCATTATGAACTGCTACCAACGAGCCAAACAGTCACTGGAGACCTATACTCGCAGCAATTGAAACGTGTGCAACAGGCATTGCGCCAGAAGGATCCATCACTGATGAATCGCAAAGGTGCGCTTTTCCTCCATGACAACGCCAGGCCGCATGTTGCGCGAGTGGTCAGGGATACCATACAGAAACTTGGGTGGGAGACTTTGTGCCATCCACCTTATTCACCTGACCTTGCGCCATCCGATTACCACTTCTTCCATTGACTGGATAATCATTGTGGGAAATCCTCCACCAATGAAGCAGATTTGCGCAAAGCCCTCGCGGACTTCTTTGTATCAAAACCCTCCGAGTTCTACCGCAAAGCATTGTACAGCTGGAGACGCTTTGGCAGAGGGTGCTGGATGCCGAAGGCGATTACTTCGAAGACTAAATATAAGTTACACATATTGTGAAGCGTTTTCTTTTTTTCCTTTAAAAATGGACAGAGATTTTTTGGTTACCTTCTATATCTGTTTGAATTTCTCAGAAGAGGCGTTATCATTGTTTATATAGGATCTATTGTGTTCATCTTTGTTTTCTTATCACAACTTTTCAGTCGTTATGTCTTCCAACATTCATCACATGTTCGTCGATATGGTTGAGGTACATATTTTCCAGCTGAACACTTTATTAAATCTACGGGGGTAAATTCTTCGCGTTCCACTGCCAGTGTCTAGGGATATCACGTTTTATTCTTCTTCTTAATATTGCTC